CTAAGCATGAGGGCCGAACAAGCACTGCTAGAGTGGATCCCCGTCAACAGTCGTCTATGTGCTGTTCGGCTGAACGGCTGCGTAAGAACTCGGGAGGATAGGGACACACGTCGTTGTCTTTTTGTCGTTTCTGTCTACGCTCCCACTGACTGCAGCTCAGATGAAGTGAAAGATGAATTTTACAGAAAGCTTTCTGAACTTCTTCAGAAAGCTAAACGCTCAGACATAGTACTCGTAGCAGGTGATTTTAATGCTCAGATAGGTAGCTTAAACCAAACAGAAAGGCATTTAGGTGGATATTTTAGTATTCCGACACAGCGAACAGATAATGGTGATCGTCTGCTGCAGCTATGCTCAGACAATCGTTTATTTTTAGCAAACACAAATTTTAAGCATAAGGAGAGACATCGTCTAACATGGCGACCGCCTACACCAAACCAACGGTGGACTCAAATAGACCATATTGCCATCAGTCATCGTTGGAGAGGGTCGGTAGAAGATTGTCGCTCATTCTGGAGTACCTGCTTGGACTCCGACCATGCCCTAATACGGGCACGCATCTGCTTGCGCCTCACTGGACGCAAAAAAGCCACATTAAAAAGACCCGTTAGAACTGAGTTGAGTAACGAGAAAACCAAAAGTAGGTTCCAGGAACAACTGAGGTCACACTTAGGTAGTTGTGAAGACGAGGCTGACCCAGATGTTGCTTGGAAGGGCATACAATCAGCTGTGGAAACAGCAGTGACATCTATTAGTGACTTAAACCACAGAGTTGCAAGGAACCAGTGGATTTCTTCAAGGTCTGTCACACTGATGGATTCTCGCAAAGTCGTCCCATCAGGTTCTGAACATGGTGAAGAGCGAAAACAAATCAGATCTAGGTTAAGAAAAAGTTTAAGGAACGACCATGAGCAGTGGTGGGTAACGAAAGCAAAAGAGATGGAAAAGGCGGCGACTATAGGAAACACAAGACAGCTTTACAGACTAATAAAAGAAACTGGAATTAATAAGTCAAGTGTAAGTGAGATTATTTCGGAAAAAGATAATACTCTCATCTGCTCCCAGTCCAGACGTTTAGAACGATGGGCGGAACATTTTAGAGAACAGTTCAGTTGGCCTTCAGCTACTCTAAAACTACCCTCCATTCCCAGACAATGTGAATGGAACATTGAAGTAGGTCCCCCAACTCTTGCTGAAGTTCAAAAGGCTATAGTTAATCTGAAACGAGGAAGGGCAGCTGGTCCAGATGGATTGGCTCCAGAGGTCTTTAAGGATGGTGGTCCAATTTTAGCGATTAGGTTGACTAATATTTTAGCTAAGATCTGGGAATTAGACTTTATCCCATCTGACTGGTCGCAATCACTTATCGTCCCAATATATAAGAAAGGGTCAAAATCATCCTGTGACAACCACAGAGGGATTAGTTTAACAAACATAGTATCTAAAATACTGGCCTCGATAATTATCAGACGTCTAACTAAGACTCGTGAACTACAAACTCGAGAGAACCAAGCTGGCTTTAGACCTGGTCGTGGCTGCATCGACCACATATTCACCATTCGTCAGGTTCTAGAACACAGGCATACCTATCGGCGTCCGACGATGGTGGTCTTTCTTGACTTAAAAGCAGCGTTTGACTCTGTAGACCGCGAGACTCTGTGGCAGTGTCTGTCATTGAAAGGCGTACCTCAGAAGTACATAAACCTTGTGAAGGCTCTTTACTCGAACACTACTAGTCGAGTCAGGGCTTATGGCGAACTGTCATCTACTTTTGCAACTTCAAGTGGTGTCCGTCAAGGCTGTCCACTTTCTCCATTTTTGTTTAACTTCATCATTGACCTATTGATGGAAATAACACTCTCGTCGACTGAATTCTCGGGTATTGATCTCCTTCCAGGAGGTCCACTTATCGACTTAGAATACGCAGATGACATAGTCCTGTTTGGTGAAGACGCTGACAAAATGCAGAGTCTTCTGGTAGCACTAAGCAACAATGCCAGAATGTTTGGGATGCGCTTCTCTCCCTCTAAATGCAAGTTGTTGTTTCAGGACTGGTCTGCATCAACACCTAAACTAAGGATAGGGAGTGAAGTAGTCGAACGCGTTGACAACTTCACTTATCTTGGAAGTCTGATCAGCCCTAATGGGTTGGTGTCTGACGAAATCTCAGCACGGATTCGAAAAGCTCGCTTGGCTTTTGCCAACTTACGTCACCTTTGGCGAAGGCGAGATATCCGTCTATCAATAAAAGGACGAGTATACTGCGCGGCAGTCCGTTCTGTCTTACTTTACGGCAGCGAAACATGGCCTTTAAGAGTAGAAGACACCCGTAAGCTACAAGTATTTGACCACAGATGCCTTAGAAATATTGCTGGCATCTGCTGGGATCACCGGGTAAGTAATAGTGAGGTTAGACGCAGGGTATTAGGGAATGATGGTAAATCAGTTGATGAGGTTATGAATCTTCATCGACTGAGATGGTTGGGCCACGTATTACGTATGCCTGAATACCGATTACCACGACGTGCAATGCTAACCGGTGTAGGGGATGGTTGGAAAAAAGTTAGGGGCGGCCAAACCAAAACGTGGCATCAGTGCTTGAAGTCACTAACTTCTAGTCTTAGCCATGTTGGTAGATGCAGACTACTTGGTTGGGGTCCGCGTGACTTTCGTAACCAATGGTTGGAGACTCTTGGTGACATGGCTCAGAATCGATCACAATGGCGTCGGTGTATACACTCCCTGTCTTCCCTTAAACTAAGAGATTAAAATCGCTTCATATCTTTCTTTCTACGAACTAATTCTTCCTTCCTATACTATATCCTTATTGCAACCTTTGACCTAACCACTCCTATGAATCCGGTGTTCATCTTGTTGTGCTAATGAGGTATGGCAACCTGGACCGATGCACATATGTGCCTGGTCCTACGTTGTAGCTGACTGACTGACTGAACATTGAAGTAGGTCCCCCGACTCTTGCTGAAGTTCAAAAGGCTATAGTTAATCTGAAACGAGGAAGGGCAGCTGGTCCAGATGGATTGGCTCCAGAAGTCTTTAAGGATGGTGGTCCAATTTTAGCGATTAGGTTAACTAATATTTTAGTTAAGATCTGGGAATTAGACGTTATTCCATCTTACTGGTCACAATCATTTATCGTCCCGATATTTAAGACAGGGTTTAAATCATCCTGTGACAACCATAGAAGTATTAGTTTAACTAATATAGTATCTAAAATACTAGCCTCAATAATTATCGGGCGCCTAAGACTCATGAACTGCAAACACGAGAGAATCAGACTGGCTTCAGACCTGGTCGTGGTTGCATCGACCACATATTCACCATTCGTCAGGTTCTAAAACATAGGCATACTTATCGGCGTCCGACAATGGTGGTCTTTCTTGACTTAAAAGCAGGATTTGACTCGGTAGACCGCGAGATTCTATGGCAGTGTGTCACTGAAAGACGTACCTCCGAAGTACATAAGCCTTGTGAAGGCTGTTTACTCGAACACTACCAGTCAAGTCAGAACTTATGGCGAACTGTCATCTACTTTCGCAACCTCAAGCGGTGTCCAGCAAGGCTGTCCACTTTCCCCATTTTTGTTTAACTTCATCATAGATCTATTGACGGAAATAACATTCTCGTCGACTGAATTCTCGGGTATTGATCTACTTCCAGGAGGTCCACTTATCGACTTAGAATACGCAGATGACATAGTCCTGTTTAGTGAAGACGCTGATAAAATGCAGTCTTTTGGTAGCACTAAGCAACAATGCCAGAATGTTTGGAATGCGCTTCTCTCCCTTTAAATGCAAGTTGTTGCTTCAGGACTGGTCTGCGTCAACACCTGAACTAAGGATAGGGAGTGAAGTAGTCGAACGCGTTGACAACTTCACTTATCTTGGAAGTCTGATCAGCCCTAATGGGTTGGTATCTGACGAAATCTCAGCACGGATTCGAAAAGCTCGCTTGGCTTTTGCCAACTTGCGTCACCTATGGCGAAGGCGAGATGTCCGTCTATCAATAAAAGGACGAGTATACTGCGCGGCAGTCCGTTCTGTTTTAATTTACGGCAGCGAAACATGGTCACTAAGAGTAGAAGACACTCGTAGGCTATTAGTATTTGACCACAGATGCCTTAGAAATATTGCTGCCATCTGCTGGGATCACCGGGTGAGTAATAGTGAGGTTAGACGCAGGGTATTGGGGAATGGTGGTAAATCAGTTGATGAGTTTGTGAATCTTCATCGACTGAGATGGTTGGGCCACGTATTACGTATGCCTGAACACCGATTGCCACGACTTGCAATGCTATCCGGTATTGGAGATAGTTGGAAGAAAGTTAGGGGCGGCCAAACCAAAACGTGGCATCAGTCCCTGAAGACACTAACTTCTAGTCTGAGCCATGTTGGTAGATGCAGACTACTTGGTTGGGGTCCGCGTGACTTTCGTAATCAATGGTTGAAGACTCTTGGTGAGATGGCTCAGAATCGATCACAGTGGCGTCGGTGTATACACTGTCTGTCTTCCCTTAAACTAAGAGATTAAAATCGCTTCATATCTTCCTTTCTATGTACTAAATCTTTCTTCCTGTACTATATCCTTATATGCAATCTCTCTTATATATTACCACCTTTGACCTAACCACTGCTATAAATCCGGTGTTCATCTCGTTGTGCTGATGCGGTATGGCAACCTGGACCGATGCACATATGTGCCTGGTCCTACGTTGTAGCTGACTGACTCAACTTTATAAACATAGGGAAGGCTGATTATAATAAAACTTCGTCTCTTAATAGTAGTTACTTAGTCCTACCACTCACTTTAACCAACTTTTCCCGAGCGACCTGGACTTAGCAGAAAGTACAGTATGAATAATCTGGCAGTGTGATGAAGGTGAAATGAAATAGACAATGTGACCCTTGGGATGTTTGGAACCAACACAGCGCTCTCACTAAAACTTGGCTGCTGCACAATGCAGGATACGAAAAGGGAAACATCAGTACAGAAACTTAATTATGTTTATTCAATATCTAGACTATGGTTTTTCTCTGCAACTTGACAGTACACTTGTGCACTGGTATGACATTTATGAGTAACTACTTAATGAGTGAGTATACTGCATACGACTGTCATGGATCAACCGTAATATAAAACAGAACTAAGTACTGAAGACTCTCAAGCGAATGACCAGAACCTAAACAAGGAAAACGATGTTCTACAAAAATTCAGCACATATGAGGACAAAAAGTAGTACCTTTTAGAATAACATGCACGAATCTCGTGAACTTTATAAGAAAAATAGTGAAGTTAAACGAACACCTTATTGGAAAAATAATTGGTCCCACATCTCAGAGCATTAAAACGATAGAATCAAAAGATGTTAATTTTAAAACATTGTGATGATCAAAAGATTTTCACCACACATTGGAAATAAGTTCTGTATAAGAAATGTGTTGTTGAGTGAAAGTCAACCACACCTATCAAGGATAATTCATTAAGGTTACCTGTTATAATAGGAGGGAAATAAGCACGTGATACTTTCCATTAGAAATATAAACTTATCAAAAATCAATGTACAGTCAACAGCTAGTCTCCGATTGCTTCTTCGAAATTGTTCAAAATATCACTTTCCAGATATACTAAAGCATTAATCATTACTTTCGTAAGATGGAAATTAATAGATAAACTGATGAAAGCCCATTTGACGGTCAGTCTCAGGTCTCATTAAATGCTGTGAATCTGTTTTTTAAGTCGATTTCTAGCCCAGGCGTCTCACGTACATCTCTGAAAAAGAAAAGAAAATGTCCAGCTTTTAGTGCATGAAGAATAGTGTATTGTCTACTCGAGAGTAATTACCAGGTTTCCTGTACAATAAATTTCCAAAGGACAAGAATTAAAAAATATATTCAGCTATGGATGAATATGATTTAATAGTTATAGCAGTGACATAACAATGGAACAAGTGCAGTCGGCGTAGTGCAAATAAACGACTACACGATATATCGTCAGCGAACAAGTGAACCCAGAGTTGAGGAGACTGATCTTCGCAAGATAATTTAGGTCTCGATGGAGGACATTAACGAAAGCCGTTAGTTCATGAATGAGTTTTTACATTTTAAAATTCAGCTTAGTCGTAAGCTGTTAATACCTCACTGCAAAAACTCATTGTACTATTTTAATATATACATCCGTGACTAAATCCAACTGAGAGATTCAAAATGTTTTTTCCGTTTGATTCTATCAATATCTAATGAAGACTGGCTAACGCCTTATAGAAGAATGATTATTGGAAGAAATCATTAGTTTCTATGACGTAAACGAATTTAAAATAACGAAGGATGAACGCCAAGGTTATAAATATAACTTACTTGTAAGTCTTCACATTTACATTCCTAGACCATCCATTTGTGTTTCCTGAAACTGTGTGGAAACTTGCATTTGAGGGATTCAGCGGCAGTTGTTCGGCAGGATTGTTAGTGGGATTCACACTGATAATATTTCCTCTAGCCCAACCGCCACCTGAAGAAGCGGCTTCGCGAAGTCCTGGATTTTCAGTAAATCTTTTAAATCCTGGATCTATATCTGAACGTAAAGGTGGATCATTATGAGGCCGGAAGCCATCTCCTGTATAACCTGGACCCACACTTTTGAAGCCCGGAGCCCCTGACTGTCTCAAGCTTGGTGGAACATATGTGGGTGTGTTACTAACGGCTATTGGTAATGTACTAGATATTGGGTTAGCACGACGTACACCTGCCTGTTGCCAAGGTGAGTTTTTATCATCATTATCATTATTTGGTTGAGTTTCCTTTTTCTGAGGTTCATTTACAGATGCATCTAAGGTAGGAAAATCCATTGAACTGGCTACATTTGGCTTTGGAGCTACAGGACCGAAAGCACTGCCTCCCAATCTCAACGGAGCAGGAATGTAGACGCTAGGTTTAGGTGGTGGTTGTACAACTGCTTCTACGGGTTCTTCGGCTACAAATATGAATGTTTAGTAGCGAACAAAACGTGAGTAAAGAAAGCACGGGTAGAAAGTAGCAAAACAACCAATAATCTGACGAGCAACTGATATTTAAAGGATTTGAGAGACATTTACACTAGCGGTTACAAAGGCAACCACACTAAATAAAAAACTAGATAACGGCGCTTATTCACCTGAAAATAATCAAGAATGACATATCATTTTTTTAAAATTATTAAAACAGGGCGTGATAACGTACGAACTCGTTCTGTACTAAGCTGAATATTTCACATAAGTAGGTCTACAAAAGGGGGATAAAATGGCAACACTTTATGACAACTAAGATAAGAAGACAGGATGGTTATTTGCAATAGGCTGGTTTTTCTCACATTACAAACGATGGCTGCCACTATATTTGTGAAAGAAATTTGTAAGCGCAATATATGCTCAGTTTCATAAAAGGCTTATGACTCACTAGTAATTTACTGTTGAAGGAGAAGCTTGATCAGACTGGTGGTTAGGGTCAAAACCTGATCTAAGCTCTTTTTGAAAGCTACTGATCTTGTTCCACAGTAAGTGGATAAAAACAAACCAAATTCGTGTGTCTTTTTATTGTCTTGTCGAAGTAGGAATAATTCAAATAAGTCTCGCAAAATAGAACAAACAGTACAGACTCACGAGTTTCGATGGGCTTCGCACCCCAAACCTTCTTCTCCACCACAGATTCACCATCACCTTCACGAGAATCTTTGTTTTTCGACAAATTTTTAGCAGAATCGTCAGTTATGGTAGAGGACATATTGTAAACCCGAATGTTCTGAAGATCTATTTCTTTTTCGTCGTCTATTATTTCCCACTCGTCATCTTTCTAATTCATAAACAATAAATGGACAGGTGCCAACTCACCTCAGAAGTAATAGGCTTGTTTTCTTGTGGAGCATTAGATTCTGGGTAGGGTTTGAGTACTTCACCACCTTTCGTGAGTAAATCCATTAGTTCCGTTGGATTTTGTTTTTTCTTAGACTTCTTCTTATTTTGTTTAGCAAAGAAGTCGTTCAACGACATCTTGAGACACTCAAAACACGTTACGACTGCAAACAAGAATGCGCTAAGAAACCGTCTACGAATTGCCGCCGGAATTGAATGAGCTTAAGATAACAAGAACAAGTAACAGAAGACGAATCGGAATTCTTAGAGCATATTTTCTTTTTTCCGGTTGAAATGAAACCGTGTCAAGTTTAAAAAGTGATGCCATAAAATATAACAAAATTCCTTGACTTCAGCCATCTATCAAATATTTTTAACTTAGTGTTATACTGTACGGCAGAGTTTCACACTCTAAGCAAAACGTCTTCGAAAAGAAAGTACCATATATAATTGAAATCATATAGAAACGTCTGTAGCACTAAATATATTACATATAAATAGTTCCGTAAGTCATCAACACTGATTCAAACCTCATTAATTTTATCGTGCACACCTTAGATGAAGGCGCCTGGTTGCTCATTCGCTCCAGATCATCATCGAGTACATAGTGCTACGCAACCCCCGCAACAACTAGCCAGCTTAGACCATACACGTCTTGATGTACCGACATCCTTACATATTTTACTTCGAACTCCTTCATTCCTGACTCCCAGTCTGAGTAGTTTTGTATTACTTTGGTCACAAAAGTGTTACGGACCAAAGCGTTGTCAAACCTAGAATATCCTTATTATCTTTAAACTTGAGATTAATTATTGAAAACGATGTTGATTGAAACGAGGCTTCAGGAGTCAAGCTGTTGTCAGAACAAGCAACTACCATTAGAGCATATATCATATTTGATTATGACAGGTGATATAAAATACAATACGTATCCAAGACCTAGTGGTATGTAGATATATATTAATAATCAATACGAAAAACAATTTATGAATCTAATGATCACTCACATTGTGCATGGTTACTCATTACCGGGAAATCCTCACAAATATCATGGACGTAAAATCCATGTTCACACCGATCACAACCTCGGTACTAACCTACCTATACCTACTATCCATTGAGAAACACAGGTTATTGATCAAGCATCGCCTAGTCATCATGTCCCTTGCTGTTTTTCCCAGATTTCCCTCAGCGCTACTCACTCTTTCGATGTCAGCCTCCATCTCCCAACGCAACGTAGTGTGACGGAGTTTATCGACTCCCGTTGTCTGTGTCCTATCTACCTCCAGCACCTTTTACTGTTTTCCTCTGGAGCTAGATCTTGGATTGTTCCCGGCCATATTAGACTATTGCTATTGGTATCTGGCAGACAAATATAGAGTATGTTGCATAGACAGGTGTTCTGCGATAACTGTAGCTTTTTATCGGTGACTTTTGTAGTTCTTCAAGTTTTGGCTCAGTGAAGTAAAACTGTCCAAACGCTAGTGTTAGATATTATGACTTTGGTTTTGGCTGACGGCATTTTGGAACTCCATATGTTCTTCAGTTATGCCAATACTGCTCTCGCTTCACCACTTCAAGCCCTGGCATCTATATCCGATCCTCCTCCTTTATCATAGAAAATATTCATGTGTGTTAGTTGGTATGTTAGTTGATCGCCGCCCATTATTATGTTTGACCTTGTAATTTTTGAGGAATACTCTCACAGAGACAGCTACTGTATCACATGTCTTCATCTCCGTTTGTTACTGCGTGTGCGATAATAGGGTTTAATGATCCGCGGAATCAAACAGCTGAAAGCTATAGGAACACAAAAGGAAATTCGCCCACATTATTTTTATGAGTTCTGGATCGTCGCAGCTATATGTATATTTTGTTAGCTCAATACTAACAAAAATAACTAACTGTTCGTAGTAGTAACTCGATAAGTTCTGAGAATTCCCTGATGTACTGAAATTTTAGGTATTGGGTCAAGTTTTTATTAACAACAATTCTGATAGACGAACAAACAAAATGGTGGAAACTTGCAGCGCGCCACTGATTGATAACCTGTCAACAGCTAGACTCACAGCTGGATAAAAATTTTCGGGAGTATTTTGAATTCGCTTTTTCCTCTCAAATTATAAGCAAATTTAAATAAACTTCCTTGAAATAAACAATCAGCGGTTCTTCTTCAGAATTATGATGAAATACCACTCACTTTTAAATATGCCAGGGTGTAACTTTCTTCTGTGGTAATCAGCTCTCAGTAATAAATAAACTTAAAGTCAATGTGTGTGGTCACCAATACCGTGAATTTCAGTGGACTCTGTTAGTTAAATATGCTAGTCAAACATTGCAACCGAATATCAACACAACTTCCATTTCAGATTCTTCTAATCCCCTAGACAGCCAGTCTTTATGCTTCTATTTCTTTTATATTAACTCGTATTCAGTTGTTCTAATCTTTATAAGCGAAATATTCTGGAGCCTTGACTGGGTGACTGCTCGATTCCATACCAAGACGTAGAAATATCGTTGTCGAAATCTGGCCTTTCTAAGGATATATAACTGGTATTTGGACCATCATTTTCAACATACATGAGGATCAAATCCAAACTTACTCACTGAGTACTCCCTGGCCTATCATTGACGGATACAATATCCGTAAACTGTTGCTCTATGATATCCAAGCAAAACCACTACCAAGCAACTTTGTACCTTCAGTGGATTGGCAAAAGTTTGGAATATTTTTCATGTTCAAGTGCTAACACTGTATGTTCTGTTGTCTGTAATCACGTAATAAACATATAACAGAGGATCATAGGGCAGTACATATGAAATTGTATGTCAATCATGATTAATCTAAGTAATTTACTCTATGAAATTTCTCGGGTCTTCTCCAATTCACAATATTCAGTGACGGTAAATAGGAGTACCTTTGAATAGATAGGATTCACGCATAGACTGACAGCTCAGGATAGGATGCATGTGGAAACATTCGGGACTGAAGTAATATTCTGCACATAAAGCAGTCGACTCAAAAAGACATTTCACTTAGATGAGCATACATATACATAGACGTAGGAGTGGTGAGATTTTTAAAGACATCCACAAAGAAGACGAAAATTTCATACACGAGTTCCTCAAATCTCTCTGTGCAGCACGAAAGTGCTCTTTATAGTCTCCCTCTTGAATATCCTAGTTCATTAGCCACTTTAATTAAGATGTGGTAGTTGTTACGTCCAAGTTTTTGCTCTTTCCTCTTATTGAAGTACGGTATATCGACCTATTTGTAATTTACGAACCTAAATTAACTATCGAACCAAACTCCAATTTAGGTACGAACGTTTATTCGCAATTTAAAAATACTCGACCCAAATGTCGTTCAAACAATAATACTTATAACAATTACAAAACAAACATTCAATTTTGTAGGTCCCCGGAGCAAAAGCTCCCAAATAATAAACCAAGGACAAAGAGAAACCAAAATGTTCGAAATAATGATACAAACAAACAATTTCAGAAGTTAAGAAAAAACAAGTACATACAAAAACACAGTGAAATTAATAATATTTAACATAAAGGTTTTAATCAGCCAAATGTCTTCAGTTCTCCCGTAACAGTAGTCGGTATTTAATATAATTCTTAAAAGTCGTATACAGTTCGTCTTGATTACGGTCACTAGATAACGCCCCGACGGTGTATTAATCAGAAGGCGAATACGAAGTGTTGATTAAGTTTATCAACACACCATACACAAATCACTAAAATGTACATATATAGTGAAATGAATGAATCATCGAATCAGTTAAGCGACTAACAGTAAGGTTGGAAAAATGAATATATATGTAGGCAGTTAGCAGTGCTTAAGCATACATATACATACGAGTGTAACAATAATAAAGGGGCAATCGTATAGATAAGTTGTTATTCTTCGAATAACTCTGTCCGTCAAATAAGTTAATGAAAAGGCTTAATCAAATTTAATGTGAACAAACTAAAATGTACGTGAGCTGCTATATTGAACAATAGACCAACAATCATCTTTATACTATAGTTCCAGGACACAACCAAAATTTTTCCTTGGTTATATACGCTAAATAGTCTTTCAAATCATCTGGTCACTTTTATTTCCGAAGGAAGAGCTTAGGACACAACCGCTAATTCTGCACCAAGAACTAAACAATTAAGAGTAGACGACTTACAGCATTTGAATGTCCTGAAGAACGAAAATCCACAAGGAACCATGTATTTCGTGTCAAACACAAAAAATAAAACAACTTTTAGTGGCTCTATACTTGACTTAATTTTGATAGATCGTATAAATGATTGTTGAAATATGCATTCCTCCGATCCTTGTATATAATTATCGACTTTAATCGCGTTGGTAAATAACGGGATTAAATAGGTCAAATACAAGAATGAACTTCGAATAAATATATTTCACACAATCGTTGACTCAGACAAACTATCGGAGAAGCGAAGGGAAGAGAGTGAATCGAAATGACGCGCGACAGAAAAAGTATATGAGACAACTCGATTTAATCAATAGTTGAACGTTATTTACAGACATGTAATGAGTAAGATAAGAAATGCGCACATATACGCTTACATAAAAAGTCTAGGTTATTAAGCCGATACGTAACAAGTTCAAAATGTGATTTGAGAAGAATGGGTAAATTGACTTGTCCGAAAGCCAGATTAAGCCATATGGGCTTAACATAGCAACCGACGCTACAAAGTCTCCCAGTGGTATCTTTAGAATAGCGCCTGAATTTTTAAGCCATGTTGTTGAATTCCATCACTGACTTGAAGAGTAAAATTACCAAGTGGGAAATTCATCTATTATTTTACCGTCATTTGCTGCTAAAACATATTCAAGGGCTCAACATTCACTGATTAATCTCAACACCAATCTTGATGATGCAAGCACCTCAGTTGTTAATCACGTTATAAGACAGTGTTTAGATGTCCATATTAATTGGTTCATAAAGTAATGAGAAGCCGTCCGTTATCGCAAGCACTTATTGCACCCAAGTCATTTACTGAACACTATCAACATTTGTAAATAAGTTTTTAATCCTTTCTGCTCTGTTTCCTTGTGAACATGTATTACACGAGTGTACTCAATGGGACACGTCTCCACTGATCTAGGTGTTGAAGCGGTAGCATTAGTTGGCATCATCATCATCACAAACATTATGAAGTAGGTTAGGAAATTTACCCATCAGTTGAAAACGAAATCCAGAATAAGATTGCGTATAATAAAGTGCAGCTACCACCTT